GTGAGGAGAGCGCTGCCGGCGGGGCGTCCGACAGAGCAGAGGCATCTTCCAGCTTCACCGGCTGGAGCTCCGGAGCCCCTCGGCACCAGATTTCCTGGGAGCTGGAGCATGGAGGAGTTCAAAGAGCAACGGGGCAGGTTACTGGAAGAAAGGGTGGCTTGTAGAGGGAAAGGCAGTCTCTGGCTCCGGGGCTCCCGGGTTGCACAGCACCAGGAGGGAGCGGCTTGTCCCGGGGGGCCCGCTCGCTCCCTACCAGTTCCCTGGTGTCGGGGGGATACTGGTCTGACTGGGCCATCACACGCCATCTGTAACCGCGCTGCTGCACGCTCCCTGCAGTTGTCAGGGTGGAAAGCGATGCTGAAACCTCTCCAGGGAGGTCACCGGGGAGCTTGAGGTGGCAGCAAGCCGCAGTGGTGGGTGCTGGCGAGGTCCCAGAGCAGCACGACCGGGGATGTGTCTTAGCCCAGCTATTGGTTTTGGCCTTCCCCTGGTGTGAATAGCTGCACCCTCCAAATGCAGAGCCTGGTATCACCCCACACCAGCTCCGCTCTGGTGCCACCACGCTCGCCCAGCCTCTGGTGTGCCCCTATCTGTCATCCCTGGTCCTCTCTGCAGGAAGGGGGTGACGCGTGGGCTCAGGTAGGGTCTCGTCTGGGCTCATTAACCAGCCTTCCCCCCCCCGGTTTCTCTCCTCTGTGATACGCAGGCAGCTTTGTCTACTTCTGAACGCAGAAAACATCTTCCACTCCATGGCAGACATACTGCTTCGGGAAGAGGACCTCAAGTTCGCCTCTACCATGGTCCACACCCTGAACACCATTCTGCTGACGTCCTCCGAGCTCTTCCAGCTGAGGAACCAACTGAAGGACCTGAAGACCCCGGTATGGGCAGCAGGAGCAGGCTCAGCCGCTGGATGGGACGTAGTGGGGGTGGCAGGGACCTGGCAGCCATCTGGGGATGTGTCTTGCTGCTCGGTCCCCGCCTGGCAGGTCCCAGGGCTGGAGCTCGGGTGCCCTGGGTGGCCCCTTCGTTCCTCTTCCCTTCAGGAGTTGAGGGGGGCTTGGAGGACGTGCCCAACTCTTGCTTTTCTCCCCTGGGATGGGAACAGGCTCCCCAAACCCTCGAGCAGCTGCCGCGTCCCTCCCTCCGCCCTGACACGGGCCAGGGGACAGGTGACAGCGGGAGCAGAGCCCCCCGGTCCCTCAGCTGTCCCTGCCGGGAACACGCCCGCGGGGTTTGCCAAGCAGCTGCCACCAGCACCAGCGACATCCAAGCAAGGCGGGGAGAGGGAGGAAGACTTCTCCTCCTCCTCATGCCGAAGGCCAGCAACGCAGTGCTGTCCCCTTGGGTGGGACCGCCACCGTCCTCCAGCCCCTCGTCCTGCGGTGGGCGCAGCGCCCCCGAGGGCCACCCTGTCATGCTGCCACCCCAAAACCCGCCTGGTCTCCGTCTCCTGAGGCTGGTGGGCTCATGCCAGTGCCAGGTGGACTTGGTGGGTCCAGAAACGTCGCTTCGTGTCTCGGTGGCACTTGCCAGCCCGGCGGGTTGGTGTCGGGGACCTGGGGCTCTCCGTGCCACGTCCTTGCTCCCACTGGTGATCTGACCCCGATGGCTCCCTCTTTCCCCAGGAAAGCCGTAACCTCTTCTGCTGCCTGTACCGGTCCTGGTGTCACAACCCCGTGACAACCGTGTCCCTCTGCTTCCTTACCCAGAACTACAAGCATGCCTACGACCTCATCCAGAAATTGTATCCTTTGGGGGTTTTCTGCGAGGCCGGTGCCTGGGCTGGCCCGTGGTCCCTCTGTGGCCACCAAGGTCACCCTGCGCGCCCAACCAGACTCACGCCTGC